TGTGTCCAGCCTACGGATGCAAGAGGACCCACCATAAGCTACTGCACGATCCCGTGACCACGCATCGTCCTGCGGAGAAGTTGCCAACAGAAGCGCCAGATCTTCGTACTACAAACTCAGCCTCGGTATTGAGCTGCATCGCTAATGCCAAGACTAGTAAGCTTCTGTTCCGTATTTCGCCCGTAACGCTGCACAATGGGACGAAAAATATCGATACTTACGCTCTATTTGATGAGGGTTCTTCCGTGACCATGGTGGATAGCTCTATAGTTGAGGAGCTGAGCTTAAAAGGAGAAGAGCGAAACTTGAACGTGCAGTAGTTTGGTGGTCACAAGGCACAAGAGCCTGCTACAGTGGTGAACATATTGATCAGTGGGTTCGGCATGAAGAAGAAGCACACGCTGCGAAACGTTTTCAGCGTATGCAATCTGCACTTGCCGTGTCAGAGTCTGACGGAAACTGATATTCGCCAATGTACTGGTCATCAACGACGCCTGCCGCTGTTACCGTACAATGGGGCTACACAAAAGCTGCTCATAGGACTTGATCACTGCCGTCTGGGTATTCCGAGTGAGACCATGGGGATCAACGTCAACGGACCGTATGCTGCACACACGGAGTTGGGCTGGACGGTATTTGGGCCTTCAGCAGCAGCGTCTCCGAAGTCAGGAACAAGTCTTTTCGTAGGACATACGCTTGAACACATGCTTGATGTCATGGTTGCTGACTACTTGGATACCGAGAGTTTTGGAGTAAGGTCATCACCGCCGATTGAGGGCACCGCTGACGTGCGAGCACGTTCATTGCTAGCTTCAACAACCCGTCGCCTAAAAGAGTGTTACGAAACAGGCTTGCTTTGAAAGCGAGACGACGTTCACTTGCCTGAAAGCTACACATCGGCACAAACGTTTGATAGGCATCGAGAGACGTATGCAAAAAGATCCAGTATTTGCCAGAGCGTACAAGGACATCGTAAACTCTTACGTTGACAAGGACTACGCCCGTAAGCTTTCACCCAGTGAAGCCGCTCAGAAACATCCGAAGACCTGGTACTTGCCTCATTTCGGAGTAACCAATCCCAACAAGCCTGGAAAGCTCCGGCTTGTGTTTGACGCTGCTGCTGTGCCACACGGAGTTTCGCTCAACTCCCATCTACTAAAAGGCCCTCAAGAATACCAATCTCTTCCATCAGTGTTATTTCATTTCCGCGAGGGAGCGGTAGCAGTGTGCGGTGATATAAAGGAAATGTTTCACCAGGTACGCATACGTGAAGAGGACCGTTGTGCACAGCGCTTCTTGTGGCGTGACGGAGACACATCAAAGCAACCAGACATTTTTGAAGTGACAGTATGTAAAGTCTGTGAATGCTTTAGAATACCAAGGTCAGTTTCCACGGGCAGTCAAGTCGATCCTTGAGCGGCACTACGTCGATGATTTTGTTGATAGCTTTGACGACGTGGCAGAGGCAATCGACGTGGCACAGAAAGTACGCGACATTCATAAGCTTGCAGGCTTCGAGCTACGTAACTTTATTTCGAACTCTCGTGAGGTGCTTGCGGCACTGGATGGTATCGAGGCGACTTTGTCTATCATCAGCAAAGAAGGTCTTGTCACAAGGAAAGTTCTTGGCATGTTTTGGCAGCCGTCGATCGACTGTTTTAAATTCAGGCTGCGGTTTCACAACGTCGATAACTCTATCATTACTGGTGAACGACGACCGACCAAACGCGAGCTGCTCAGTATTATAATGTCGATATTTGACCCTCTCGGCTTCCTCAATAACATCACTATT